CTGAATTAGCTGTTTTAATCAGATTCCAGATGGAATTCAGGGTTCTTGTATTACGTTTAAAACTATATATGGCAGAAGACATAGTTATCAAAATGCTCATCTGTCTCCCATAGAGTCTGACCATTCCATACAATCCAACAGAGTTGGCTTGTTTTGGATTATATTAATTAAACAACCAGGACCCAGGAAACAATCCTTCCCTATTGCTGCACCTGCCATCTGAAAACAGGGTCTCCCTGGATACTTGTATAGCTACCATGTTTAAATGGCCTTTACATTTTGGCTCATCCCCCAGGCCTTGGGTTAGTGAATGGTTGGCCAATCTCAATTGGAGGATGGAGCAGATGTTCTTTTTAATTTATTCCCTGTGGTTGACTCCTGTTCTGTTCTTCTGTGATACTGTTTTCTATTTATTTTTAGTTGTGAACCTGTCCAGAATTGTCAGGAAGTATCAGGAGGCTTAAAAATTTGATGAGTAAATAACTAAATGGAGGCCTATCTATTGCAAACAGACACGGGCTACCCAGAGACTTTGACATAGTCAATTTAAATTAAAGACTCTTGCACGAGTTTGTAATTTAATTTTCATATAAATTCAGAAAAAAAAGGATCTTAAAGGAAGGACAAACACACAATTATGCTTTAAAAAAGATTTTTTATTGTGGTCACTGAGCAGAATCAATAATAGAAATATACTAAAAATTAAAGTAGGAAAAATGTCAAACAGAAAAGGAATACTTCAAATGGAACATTTTATACATGTGATCTCCAGTTTGGAGTCTGAAATGGTAGAGACTATGATGTAAAATTCTGTTTAAGAGAGAAAACCAGAAATCCATTTTTTAAAATCTTATGTTTGCCATAAACTCATGGAAGTTATGCAATCTGGGCTGTATAGATGACATCAGAAAATAATGTCAAACTTGTTAGAAGTTTGGGAGAGTAATTTAAATCACAGACTTTATTGTTTCTTTTAAATATGATATTTTGCAAACATGTTAATAAGCAGCATTTTTAATTTAGTTTCATTTTTAAAGTCTCCTGTAGAAAGTAGGAAGAAGCATTTGGCCTTTGTAATCTTCCATATGTCTAATCAATCTTGTTAAATTATTTATTTATTTTATTATTTATTCATCAAATTTTACAACTGCTCATTTCCCTCACAGAATACAGGTAATCCTAGAAAGTAATAGAGCCTGTCAATTACATTCGTAACCTTAGAATTCGTTAATTGGATCAAATTAAATGAATGTGACTCCTCCCTGCTTTACCCAATGCATTCGTTAATCAAATGCATAAATCGTTAAGTTCACATGAGGCCTGAAGGAGCAGGAGATTACACTTCAAAAGGTTTCTGTCCCCTTTGCAAAAACTTTTTGGTGTGGAGGACGGGGGCCTGAAGGAGCACAAGATCAGGCCCTTGAAGGCTTCTGTTCTTCGCACCAAAACCCTTTTGCAAAGGGGACAGAAAGGTATGTAAGAAGACAGCCACTTTTCTGCCACATGGCCCTGACTCTGCACATTTTGAAATGTAAGTGAGCAATCAGTGATGGGAGGGGGGGGAATAGGCAGGGGATTGTTGCAGCATCTCTGCAATCGGTTGTCAGGGTGAACAATTGCAGTGGTGCTGCAACATTCATAACTTCGGAACTGTCATAAGTACTTTTGTGGGTGGTGGCGTAAATTTGAATCATCACTTAGTAAACTGTCATAACTCGAGGACTACCTGTACACAGGAACTTATTTCCACATAAATATGCAAAATAAATTTTCAGTTTGGATTAATTCAAAAAATAGCTGATATAACATTATTTTTGAGTTAAGTGTTAAGAGATCAGAGCATGAATCCCACTGTACCTCAGTGGGAAATCTTAACCTTTTGTTTGCTTCCATTGTAAGAATATGAAAGAAAAGAATAAAAAAGGTCCTTGGGGGGGGGGGTGGACAGTATTTATATCTGATTTTATGTGAGCCGCCCTGAGTCCCCTCAGGGAAAAGGGCGGCCTACAAATGTCAATAAAATCAAAATCAAAAATCAAATCAAATCTGTGCAGGCTAATTTTCAGTTATGTATATTTTGTTGAAAATGAGGTTTATATTTATTATAGCATCTTTTTCAACAACATCTTCAAAGTTATAAAGTGCTTTATGCATAAAAATATGTTTAGCATTAAATTTGCTGACCTTTAAATATTTGCTAAATAAATGTTTAAAATTGTTCTTAATTACCATTTTGTTTATTACTTATCTGTTTCATTAACCTGCAGGGACATACTGTAATTTAAAATAAAACTGTAAAGATGTAATTTGCTTAACTGTACACACATATTTATTTAATGTGTGTGTGTGTGTGCATGTGTGTGAATCCCAAATGAGACAGACACACATTTCAGCTGATTTATGTTGGAAAGATATAAATATGTCTTGCTCAGCTTGCAGTTTTGAGATTTGGCATAATGCTTAGTATCATAAATACTTAAAATAGCAAAATGTATCATACAGATTTCATCAGAACTAATTATACAATGACATTTATGTTTTCATAATTAAGGTAATACTAATGGACATATATGAGATTTGCCACTGTGATACTGTACCATAGATTTCTTAACCACTGTATCTGTTTGTTTGTTTTTTTTAAATAGTTGTTGAAATAGACTGTAATTAATTCCTTTCGTTTTAGTATGTACCTTAGAATTACTGCAATCAGAAGTCCAGTTAAATGGTTAGTTGAAAGTTATTTCTGTTGCAGTATAACCTTTTGCCTATATGCTCCTTCACTTCAACACATAGGAGTTTTGAAATTTCTACTTCAGTTTTTATTATTATTTTTAAATTACAGTTCTATACTACCTTTAATTCAGGAGCTCCAGATGGGATACATAAAACTACTCCACCTGTTTTTCTCATAACAGCAACTTTGTGAAATAGGTTGAGCTGAGAGAGAGTCCACAGCTTATTCTGCCATCAGAACATGATCAACCAAAATTCAAGTTATAATTTATGGAGCAGCTTGTTTCAACAATCACAATTAAAAAATTAAGCACTGTTTAATGTTTGAATATTCATTCAACTTGCAGTTGTTCTCTTATAGAAGCTGAGACTTCTATGACTATGCCAGTTGACCTATCTGAGATTCTGGATATTCCTATAAAATTAACCATGGTTCAGCAATTATCTGTGAAGTAATGAATCTTCAGCTTAGATGTTTTAAAGCAGCAGCCCCCAACCTTTTGGGCACCTAGGACCGGTTCCATGGAGAGAGGCTTTTTTCATGGACCAGAGGGGGTGTGGTTTCATGTGCTGCCTGCATCTTGCTTGTTTACGCAGCCTTGTTTCTGGCATGCTGCAGCCTGGTACCAGTCCACAGACTGGGAGTTGGGGACCCCTGTTTTAAAGGATTGAATTGAATGGAAGGGGAGCACCTTTAAAGGAGGAGATGGATAATTCTAATAGTCAAATGTTGAGTTTTTGATGTTAGCACTATTAACTACCAAGAATCATAGGAAATGGCAATATAAAAAAAGTAATAAAGGTAACCTAAGCCAATATTGTTAGTGAAAAGATCATTTAAGTTACAAGCTGCAACAGTACTTTATTGGGATGGGGGGCACTTTTAAATGTGTAATCCCATGGTAATATATTCACTGTACATAAAAAAATCTGGGTGCATCTTATACACTGAATACAGCATTATTTTGCCCCCTGAAACCCCACCCCCTTCACCAAAATAGCCATGCATAGCTCGTAGGAAGCTTTTAGGGAGCTCCTGGGGCTGGGGACGGTAGAAATGAGCAAAAAAGGCCTGTTTTTTGCTCACTTTTACACCCCACCCCAGCCCCCAGGAGCACTCTATAAGCTTTCTAAAGGCTATCTATGCCCTTTTTAAAATGAAAAATGGGCTGTTTTTTGCTCGTTTTTGCCCTTTCCCCGGAGCACTCTGCAAGTCCCCTAAAGGCTATTCATGCCTTTTTTGGGGGGAAAAACAGGCCCATTTTTGTGAAAAACGGGCCGTTTTGGGGAGGTTTACAGAGTGCAAAACCTTTTTTTTATTTGCCTCCTCAAAAGCTTGGTGTGTCTTATACTCCAGTGCATCTTATACTCCGAAAAATACGATAATTGTAAGATTTGTTAGTCAAAATCATACACTTGATGATGGGCAGCCTTCAGTTCAATTCAATTTAATAAAGTTCTTTATTTTCTAGAAAGAGTTAATGTGGTACACTAGGAATCTTTTTTTCACAGCATTTCTGACAGTGTTGTTGTTGTTTAAAAAAAATATAAACATGTATGTTATTAGTATATGGAGAGATTTGTGATGGAGAACCATTAGTCAAAGTTAGTAGATCATTACCCATTCTCAGGAATCAAATAGCTAGATAGCTTCTGTCAAGGCAGTTATTTTTCAAGCAATATATATGCAGAATCCACCAAAAAGCAAATTTATAGAAAAAATAATTGAGAAGTCCTAAAACCTTCCTACTAAGGTTGGAAAAGGAAATAAGATCTTAATGACAATGAAAAGAATCTATTATTTACTAAAATCAATTTACTGTAACAGTAAGATGGTGTGTAGAGGACCTTGCATTTGTATTAGCACATGGAATGATAGTTCTTAGTTCTTTTAGTGTGTCATAGTTTATCTTATGAGCTATGCTGTGCTGCCGGTGTTGGGATGCCCCGCCTTCCGCCAGCCAGTTGGTCTTTAGGTCACTTCTGCACATGTGTGCATGTCCACGCATGTGCATGTACGCACATGTACACATTTGTGCATGTTCGCGCATGCATGTCTTAAGTTCACGTGTGTGCCCCTTTCAGTTTGGGCATGCGTGCACGTGCAGTTTGGGCACAATTCCCAAGGGTTTGCCAACACTGATCTAAAACATTTTCTTGGCTCATTTTTGGCAGGGGAGCAAATTTGAAGTTTTGGTTACAATTTAGGTGTTGGAGTGATATTTAATTTTTGTCATCCTCTCTCTTCCTTTGCTCCTCATCTCCAGACTGTGAACCAGAAGAAGTGACTGACTGGTCTATGGATGAAAAATGTTCCTTTTGTAATTTACATAAAGAAATAGTCAGCGTAAGTATATGACCTTTTAACTCCACATACATTTTGTTCAAATTTCCAATATTATTTAAACTATTGTGCTATATAAAACATTGATAAATACAGTTGCAAGAAAAAGTATGTGAACCCCTTGGGATTACGTGGAGTTTTGCATGAATTGGTCATAAAATGTGCTCTGAACTTCATCTAAATCACAACAATAGAAAAACACAGTCTGCTGAAAATAATACTACACAAACGTTAGATGTTGCCATGGTTTAATTGCACATAACATGTAAACATTCACAGTGCAGGGAAGAAAAAGTATGGGAACCATTGGATTTAATAACTGGTTGACCCTCCTTTGGCAGCAATAACCTCAACCAAACGTTTCCTGTAGTTGCAGATCAGACCTGCACAGTAATTTTAGACCACTCCTCTTCACAAAACTGTTTCAGTGTAGCAATATTCTTGGGATGTCTGGTGTGAATCGCTCTCTTAAGGTCATGCCACAGCATTTCAATCGGTTTGAAGTCAGGACTCTGACTGGGCCACTCCAGAGGGCATATTCTGTGCTGTTGAAGCCATTTTTGTGTTGACTTACTTATATGCTTTGGGTCATCGTCCTGTTGCATCACCCATCCTCTGCGGAGCTTCAGTTGGCAGACAGATGGTCGTACATTTTCCTGCAAAATGTCTTGATAAACTCTGGAATTCATTTCCCCATCAATTACAACAATCCGTCCAGACCCTGAGGCAACAAAGCAGCCCCAAACCATGATGCTCCCTCCACCATGTTTTGATGTTGGTGTGCTGTGCCTTTTTTCTCCACATATAGTGTTGTGTGTTTTTCCCAAACAACTCAATTTTGGTTTCATCTGTCCATAGTATAGTTTGCCAGTAGTGCTGTGGAACATCCAGGTGCTCTTTTGCAAACTTCAAACGTGCTGCAATATTTTTTTTGGACAGCAACGGTTTCCTCCGTGATGTCCTCCCATGTACTCCATTCTTGTTTAATGTTTTCCTTATTGTAGATGTGTCAACAAAAATGTTAGCATGTACCAGAGATTTCTGTAGGTCTTTAGCTGACACTCTAGGATTCTTCTTTACGTCATGAAGCATTCTGCGCTGTGCTCTTGCAGTCATTTTTACAGGACGACCATACTTAGGGAGAGTAGCAATAGTGCTAAACTTTCTCCATTTGTAGACAGTTTGTCTTACCATGGACACATGAACATCAAGGCTTTTGGAGATACTTTTGTAACCCTTTCCAGCTTCATGCAAGTCAACAATTCTTGATCGTAGGTCTTCTGAGAGCTCTTTTCTGCAAGGCATGGTTCACATCAGACAGTGCTTCTTGAAACCAGACAGTGCTTCTTGAAAAACAGGTGTGCGTTTTCAAAGGGCAGAACAGCTGTCAGCAACACATCCAATATCATCACACTGATTGGAGTCAAGGTTGGCTCACTCCTGGCTCCAATTAGCTCTTGGAGAAGTCATTAGGCTAGGGGCTCACATACTTTTTCTTCCCTGCACTGTGAATGTTTACATGTTATGTGCAATTAAACCATGGCAACATCTAACGTTTGTGTAGTATTATTTTCAGCAGACTGTGTTTTTCTATTGTTGTGACTTAGATGAAGTTCAGAGCACATTTTATGACCAATTCATACAAAACTCCACATAATCCCAAGGGGTTCACATACTTTTTCTTGCAACTGTATGTAATATAATGGAACTTTTTTCTTGCTCATCTCTATTAATATTTACTTTTACTTAGAAAATTTGGGTTTTTTAAATTCATTTTAGGATCCTACAGTGGTTCTTGGTTCTTTGCAGTCAACAGCTACAGAGGAGTTGTCATCTCAGGGCCAGTCCAACACTGATAAAATTGAGTGCCAAGCAGAGACTTACCTAAATGCACTCTTTCGTAAGGAAGGTAAGACTTAACTTCATATTGTGATATATAGTGCTCAACAGAAATTGTACATAAAATGTAACTTTTTTCTTTTAAAAAAACTTCTCCAGCTCTAGTTTAAGTTCTGTAACTTAAGTTCTGCAGTTGAAATAGCTTTTCTCGAGTTGACTGTTCATATGCATTTAGTTTATAAGGAAATTAATTTTTAAAGAGAGAAAAACATTTATTTTCCAATTTTTAAAAATCTTGTAACATTTCAAGTAATTTAAACTGAGCACTAGTTTAATATAATATTATACATCTTTCTATGCTCATGTGCTGCACATAATATTTTGGAGTGCAGTGAAGGAAAATTTGCAAGACATCTGTTTTCCTACCTCACAGAATACTTGCAGGAAGCATGCATCCAGTTTTCAGACAGTTGTTTTTAATTATCCCACAAAGAAAAAGATTCATTTTTGTGGGGTAATGATTAGTGTTCGAAGGTGAGGAAGTATGAAATTAGTATTCTGTCTGGTTTGGTATATAAACTTGTTTCTCTTTTAACTTTGAGATGTAGGGTCCTTTATTGAGCTTGAGTTGTTAGTCAAGCAACATTAAATTAGCTGAATTTTAAAAAGCTACATTTTAAAGTTGACAGTTTCTTTTTAATTGCATGTTTTAAAAAAACTAAAGCTAATTTATGGACATGAATACTCAGAAGAGTATTTAAATTTCATTGCATACTGCATGCACTATTAGGAGTGGGCTGGTTAGATTCTTGTTGTGGTTTTCTTTTTTATATACCTTTGGAATTAATCTCATAGAACAAAATTATGGGGTAAAAAAATACAACCAAATCTGTATAAATCACTAAGAAAAGGACATAGAATATTTATAGGGCTTTTACTTATCGATTATACAGAATATTTTCCATATCTATTTCTTCATAACAAGCATCTCAAACTCAAATGCTAATACCCTCTGCCCTTGGAGGGTCAAAGGTATAAAATTATATTCTTTTTTAGCACCAGAAAACAACCCTATGTATTTGCCCAGGAATTTTATATTTCAAATGTCATGTTATACGGTTAATTTATGTTAATTTACCAACTCTATGTAATCTTTTACATTCTGTTACAATGTCAACTGGTTTGTTTTCTTCATAGTTTGCAAAATGTTTTGGTAGGAGAAAAATGGAAAAGTATTTTAAATAAAGAAGCGTAAATAAAATTAATGCAATTTTATCATGAAAAGATATCAAGACTTAAAACTGAGTTGAAATATTTCAAGCTACATTTTTATGGCAAACAGGTAATATTATTCTATTTGCCATAATTGAAGTCAAATTTTTAGTTCCAAAATTTTATTTTTATACCTTATGCCAGGGATCTCCAACCCCTGGGCCGCAGACTGGCACCAAGTCCACAGGGTACCAGAAACGGGTCCACGCAAACAACAAAGCCCCATCTGCACAGGATGCAGGCAGCATGCAAAGCCATGCCCCTTCCAGTCCGTGGAAAAGCCCCTCTCCACAGAACTGGTCCCTGGCACCCAAATGGTTGGGGAGACACTAATGTATGATATATATAAGATATACAGGTAATCTTTCTTTAGCAGCCGTAAGAGAGACCAGTAATTCTAGAGCTAAGCTTTGCAGTTGGCAAATAAATAATATCACAATAGGCTTGCAATCTCACTTCCCATTTAGTCATTAAGCGAGTCACTATAGTTGTAGACAAAATATTGCATAACTGAAACTTACAATTTATTTATCTTACTCATTTATTTTGTTAGATTTTTATCCCACCTTTATTACCTTGTAAGTAACTCAAGAGGGCAAATGTGCGTAATATTCATTCCTCCTCCTATTTTCCCTGCAATAACAATCCTGTAAGGTGGGCTGGGCTGAGAGACAATGACTGGTCCAAGGTCACCCAGGCAACTTTCATGACTAGAAGTGTTCTCCATTAACTTAATTATCACAAGCTGGTTGGGAAGCATGCAAATGGAGATCAGGTGGCTGTGGGACACTGCAACAATTGTAAATAGAAAAACTGGTTGCAAAACTAGTTATTTTATTTATTTAATGCTATTGTGACTTCAGATGGTATATTTACAAGAAAAATAACCCTCCAAAAAGTAGCCACTTCTAATATAGTAAGAACTTTTCAGTTGGACTCCACAGACGTTGAATTGGACTCCTCTACTCCAAGTTGCTTGATAGGCTGAAAAGTAAGCTCTTTTTGGCATGCAGTGCTTTAATTGTTGATGAAATTAGCTCGTGTGTTATTTTTGTTGTGCTTTTTGTGAATGGTCCTGAAAAGCACAAAAGGAATTATAGGAATAATTCAGAATGCATTGATGGAAATTTGCACAAAGAACTATCAGTTGTCAAAAACAAAATTAAACAATAAAATATCCAAAGAAGCTTCTTCTGAATTTGATGCAGTAAAACAGTTACATGTTAATTTGGCTTTTTCACATGGAATAAATGATCATTCAGACTCAATGAAATATATGCTGGTGTATCATTTAAATTAAAGACCCAAGCTGAAGTGGGCAAACATATGGGGCTAAGAGAAGAGGGCTACCAGAGGAGGTGGCAGAGACACAGTTCGCTGCTGCCACCGTGCCGAACTCAAGCAAGCGATTGAACTCAGTGCAGTGAGGGTGTGTGAAAACGAGATGTGTCCAACCTCCACTGCCTCCCTGCTGCCCACCTTACCCATCACCCCTGAATGGGCCGAACACTGCCACTGCTGCCAAATGGCCCATGACAGTAGTGACAGAGGGTGTGAAAATAGGTAGCTCCCAGCTGCGCTTTGCACTCTGCCCACCTGCTTGCTCACCTGCTTGCCAACTCTCCCTCTGTGGGAAGCTTCTAGCCATTGCTCTGAGCACTCGCCTGCTCCCCTGGCTTTGCCTCCAGCTGCCCATGGTGAGTTGTCCCCATAGTGAATTGGTTGTGTTGAGTTACCCTGCGACAACTTGGCAATAGTAAATTGGCAGAGGAAACTTGGTGGTGGTGAGATGGCCGTGCCAAGATGCCTGCACTGACTTGTCCTAGACTTGCTAAAACATCTGAAGAACGGTTGCAGGATTCAATATGTCTAGTAGTGAAAAGAAGGAGTAGGGGGCAACATGATAGCAGTGTATCAATATTTGAGGGGCTGCCACAAAGAAGAGAGGGTCAAGCTGATTTCCAAAGCACCAGAAGGAAAGACAAGAAGCAATGGATGAAACTAACCAAGGAGAGAAGCAACCTAGAATTAAGGAGAAATTTCCTGGCAGTGAGAACAATAAGCCAATGGAATGGCTTATTTTCAGAGGTTGTGGTGCTCCATCACAGGAGGCTTTTACAAAAAGACAGGACAGCAATTTGTCTGAAATAGTATAGGGTCTCCTGCTTAAACAGCGGGTTGGATCAGAAGGCCTCCAAGGTCCCTCTTGCTGTTCTGTCTTGTTAAAGATATGCTGGAATATATTTTAATGTGTATGTGAATGGTACTCTTTTCTTCCCACAGATCTTCCTCAGAACTGTGATCCTAACATTCCCCTAGTTGCTCAGGAATTAATGAAAAAGATGATTCGTCAATTTGCAATTGAATATATTTCAAAAAATAGTAAACTGCAAGAAAATCGAAATGGTTCGTCATATGAAATGAGTCTGATATGTAAAGATTTCCAAATGAACCAAACCGAAAATCCACTTCAGGAAGAACAAGATAGCCCTCTAGACCTCACTGTGAATCGAACACAAGAACAGGATACTCAGCAAGGTAATCCCTTTGAGTTATTCATTTGATATTGTTAAAGATGAATATTATAAATCAAATTAAATTAAAAAAATTAAAAAAATAATTATAATATATCTGAAAACTGTTGAAAATTTTGGTATTGCTATTGGATTAGACTTGAGACTAGAAAATCTGTTTTGAATACCTATAGATTGCACTTAGTGACAACCAGGAGCATATGGATATGAATTTAGTGTAGCATTTTTTCACTCTGCTCACTGAATCTGCAGTTGAAATGATGGATGATTTTAGCCACGGGGTGAATTATTTCTGTGACTTTGAAATAATTGCTGAAGCAGTGAAATCTCTGTTAAAAACAATTGCTAATATTTTGGAACCAGCTCCTGCAGAGGTGATTGCTGTTTTCAGTGCTTTCATTAGCTATACACTGTGCATAATTATTAGACACATATTTTGGATGATTAATTTTATTATTGAACAACTACAGTGCTCTCAGTCAATCCAAAATATTAATAAACCTCAAACCTAAATATTAAGATAAAAGTGGGGTTTTGGCTTTCTTAGGAGAATATCTGCACAATTATTGGGCAGCTATTAGTGTGCACAATTATTATGCAACTAAATAAAAAATGAAAATTTGCACATCTCACTTGTTTATTTGCATATGTTAAAGTGAGAATAATAAACAAACAACTCAAAATGTACAAATGAACATTTCTGACATTTCCAGAAAAAGTGACCAATATAGCCACACTTCTTTTCAATAACAGTCATAAGCTTTCCATTCATGGAGTCTATCAGTTTCTTGATCTATTGATAATCAACTTTTTGTGCAGCATCAACCACAGCCTCCCAGACACTTTTCAGAGAGGTGTACTATTCCTTCACCATAAATCTCCTGTTTAAGAAGGACCCACAAGTTCTCAATAGGGTTTAAGTCAGGTGAGGAAGGTGTCATGTCATAATTTTTTCATCTTTTTTTTTTAAAGGTTTTATTTCTTTTAAAAAACACAAATATTTCATCATTCGTCAATCATTAAAACATTGAAGTACAATTTTTTTGTATGCCCCTCCCTCCCTCCCCCCCCCAACTCCCCTCCTCCTTCCCCCCCCCGACTTCCCAGAACCCGTACACGGTATGGATTTTTAACTAACACAGTCTAAAATCTATTGAGAAAAAAGAAATAAAGAAATTAATGACATTCTACATTGACCTTAGCTTCTTCTTACTGAACTAACTTTAAACAGTTTAAATCATTTCTGATCTTAAGCATAGGCTAACTGGAATTTCTTGGTCCCGTATTTATTTTGTATATAGTCAATCCATTTTTTCCAGTCTCGTTTATATCTCTCATTTGAGTGATCTTTAAGATATGCTGATATTTTAGCCATCTCGGCTAAGTTTGTGACTTTCAATGTCCATTCTTGGATTGTAGGCAAGTCTTCCTTCTTCCAGTATTGCGCCACCAACAGTCTTGCTGCAGTTATTAGGTGCAGAATCAAGTTAGTCTCTACCACTGTAAAGTCAGTACATATACCTAGTAAAAATAACTGAGGAGTAAACTTTATCCTTCTTTTAAAAATATTTTGCATAACCCACCATATTTTTATCCAGAATGCCTTAACCTTTTGGCAGGTCCACCATATATGATAATATGTAGCATCGAGAGAACCACACCTCCAACATTTAGGCTGTACATTCGGATACATAGAAGCCAACTTTTTAGGATCTAAATGCCATCTATAGAACATCTTGTAAAATTCTTTCATCTTTAAGGCCTTTACTTGCTAGCAACGCAATGGAGTATTTTGATGGATGTGATGGAGCATTTTCCTACATAAAAATTATGGTCTTCTTGAAAGATGCAGACTTTTTCCTGTACCACTGCTTGAAGAAAGTGTCTTCTAAAAACTGGCAGTAGGCTTTGGAGTTCATTTTGAGTCCGTCTTCAACCAGAAAAGATCCAACTAGCTCATTTTTCATAATACCAGCCCATACTAGTATTCACCTACCCTTGCATCTGAGTCAAATGGAGCTTGTAACCATTACTGATCCAGCCACTGGCCCATCCATCTGGTCCAACCAGTCTTGATTTGCTTCTTGATTTCCTAGATGCTCTTCTGGCAAGGAGTTAGAATCATTTAGATGTCTGCTCATGAACAGTGCCAACAATTTAGAGGCAAGTGGCTGATTACAAGACAGAGCTACAATGCTACTGCTAAATGGGCTGTCATACACTACTGCTAAATGGGCTGTCATAAGGATTCTCATTCATGATTCACCAAATGGTTGCAAGCATACCCCTTTTCAGGAACTCTTCTTTTGGCAAGATGATAAAACATCCAGAGAAGGAAAAAGGAAGAAAATGCAGCCATGGTGCTACTGTGTTTCCCCCAAAATAAGACTGGGTCTTACTTTCTTTTGGCCCCTGAAAAACCAGCTAGCGCTTCTTTTTGGGGGGAGGGGTCCTATTTCCCCTCCCCCATGTATCAGTATAAGGCAGGGGGCGGGGCAAGTGGCCCTCCATGCCAGCTTCTCGAAGAGTTGCAGCAAGCTCATGAAACAGCTGATTCACAGGTGTCCTCCAGTAAGCATGGCCATTTTTGCAGCTGATTGTTGCTGCAAAAGAAACTGGAGGCCAAGTGCCTCCTGTGCTGGCCACACCCACCCACTTCAATAGGGCTTATTTGGGGGTAGGACTTATATTAGGCCTACCCCCAAAAAATTGGGCTGGGCCTTACTTTTTGAATAAGTTGTATTTTCAGGGAAACATGGTAGTCTTACTGTTAAATAGAGTGTTATAAGAATTGGCAACCTATATTTTTGCTTACTGCAGTCCATCATCATCTGAATTCATGACACACAAAGACCTTGGCCACAGGACTTCCAGTTGCTAAAACAAGTTTTACTGAGAATATATGAGATGCTTATATTTTCTGACAAAGTAGTTCACATTTTAATAAAATATGGAACATGATAGCATGTACTTTCAAATCCTTTGGGATTCATTGTTTAATATTCAATTGTCTGCTAAAATATGACTTTTAGGATATTGTAGCTGCCATTAATTCCAGCTAACTCTCTTGTGAGCTGAAAACATTGACAGATTGAACATGAGCAGAGTGCATTTGATAGAGGTTACTACAACTTGTTCCTCAACTATATTTTGAAAACATTGTCAGAGGATGCAGACTGTCTTTGCTTGTTAAAGCAGCTTACTTGCACCTCACTGATAGCTAGAAAACTTCACTTAAGTTATACGTTTCCTTTCCATATACAGAAAAGAATACTTAAAATAGATTTTTTTCTTTAATGGTTTTTCTTTCAAATTATGAAATATTATGATAGTACTTCATGTAATTAATCTAGTTTTAACCAAATTGGTTTTTTTTTTCTCCTTTTAAGTGCTTTGGAATAAAACTACAGAGTTTTTTTAGTGCACTCTGGCCATCAACAAATTGACCATTCCACCTTGTCTTATGAGTCAGTTTTGTTTTAAGAAATGTGTTTTAATCAAACCACTCCATCTTACTGATGTCAGTAGATTTGTATTGTTGCAAAGAAGATTTCCTATCTGAGCACTGAACACCTTACCTTATTTGTAATCTTATTGAGAATTATTTAAAATAAGGATCAGCAGAACAAACATTCCAGCCAACTGCATCTTCTCATCTGCTGGTCATCAAAAGAAGCTGTTGCTCATCCTCCTCCTTTTGGTTCCTCAGATAGGCAACTTGACATTTGGCACACTTTAGATCTGTAGAGATTGAGTTTCTTGGAATGTAAAGAAACAACCTAAAGATGGCTCTTTTACATGTTGGCACTTTCTCTGTTGATCCCGCTTTTAGGAGGGGATATCTTTTCCCTAAGTGCTGTCCAATTTATTTATGATATCTGAGAATAAAAAAAAAAATCAAAGTCTGCTTTGCAATTACGAAAATGTACATGTGCCTTGTTTTCATTCCCTCTTAAGCAAAGTACCGGTAGACACTAAAGTAAAGGCATGTGTGCCTTTATTGATTTGGAACTACTTATGTGCCACTATTGGTGTTATTAGCACCAAAGCCAAAATTTTTGAGGTCTACTAATCCTAATACATTTCTTTTAAAAATCCTGTACTTTTTATTAATGTGGAGTTACTTTTTTGGACCTCTAATAGTATTTGAGCTCAAATTAGTACTGTTCTAACCTTTTAATAAACTTCATACCTAAGACTAGAATATATTTTAATTCAACTGTTTCCATTTGTGCCTGCCCAAATTCTAAACTTATCATAACCATTTTATAGATGTTACTGCTTTTATCAGTTTGTGTTTGCAATTTCCTGCTGCATTTGAATTTTTTTCTGTTAAGTTTTCTTTGCAGCATATTTGAAAGAAAAAGTAAAAATACATATTACAAATAACAATACATGCGTTCTCTTAGTGTAGAAAAGCATGCAGAAAAATATGCAACTTCTCCTTAATATAGCTGAAAAGGATGAATATGTTAATATAAGGAAAAAGCTGAGGAAGAAAGCAAATTGTACAACCCAGAACTGCCTTTGAGACCAAATATCTTTTATGTTAGTTGAGTTTGAATCCTATTTTAATTTTTTTTTTAAATTGTGGTCGAAGTTAACATTCATAATCATATTAGATGATCATTAGATGATTATAATTTTAATTTTTTTGGATCATATACACACATGAACACTATTAAATTTTCATTCTGTTTTGTAATTGTCAGAAAAAAATAGGAAACATAGAAACAAAGTGCTCTTCAGTCAATGTTCATTTCCATCAAAGGCAGGGGTGGGTTCCTACCGGCTGAACAACTGGTTTGCTTCATGCGCGCTTTGCTGCGCGCACATGCACAGTTTAGTAAAAATTGAACTTCCGCATTGCAAACAAGGAAAGGAGCAAGGAAAGCTGCTGAGGGGTGGCAATTCAATCTGCTGCCACTGATCAGCTGGGCTTCAGAAGCAGAAATAAAGGTCAGTATAACCCCCGGGCGGGCGGGCGGACCCACTTTTACAGAAACAGAGAACCAGTTCGCTCCCGTCTTGCAGTCAGAGCTAACAGTTTGACTGAACCAGTCCAAACCGGTAGAAACCCACCACTGATCAAAGGAGAAGAAAGTGAAATCTTTTGCAGAAAAAAATCCTTGTTTCTGCTATATTGCAGAAATTACAGTAGTCCTTGAGTTACAAATGTAATGGAACCTGCCAATTACATTTGTAAGCCAAGGTTTCGTAGGAGTGACTTGACCACAATCACTCCCTCCTTTCGCCTATGCATTCACTAATCAAATGCACGGATTGTTAACTGCACATGAGGTATCTCAGAATGGGAAGTCAAGGGGCGGCCTAGCAATGGAACAGGCCATCTACTTTGGACCATCCAAGACCTCCCCCGATCAACTGAGATATCTTTCCCCCTCCTCTGGGGTCCCTACAAGTGCTCTCCCCCATCCTGCCATTCCGGGTCACTTACCTTATGAAGATCTGTCTCCTCTCCAGCCTCTCTGTTTCTTTTCCTGCTCCCCCCTTTCTCATCGACAAAGCACTTGAGGAGGCCCTCGGTGATGAAAAAGGAAGCCCAGAGGGATGCGCGCACCCCTCCAGGCCTCCTTTATTGCCACCAAAGCACTTGAGGAGACCTTTGGTGACCCATGAGGAGGCCTTCAGCAACAAAAAAGACCTGGAAGGATGCACATGCCTCTCCGAGCCGCCTTTATTGTTGCCAAAGTGCTTGAGGAGGCCTTCAGTGATGAGAAAGGAAGTCCAGAGGGACTCGCACCCCCCTCTGTACCTCCTTTCTCTTGGAAAAGTGCTTGAGGATTGCATCCCAGTAGTCTTCCGCAGCCTTGTGTAAAAAGCTTTTGCTGGTAGGAACAGATCTTCAGAGGGATGCGTCCACCCCTCCCAAGCTCCGCTGGTGCCGACAGGCATTTTGCAAAGGGTTGCCGAAGCCTCCAGGAATGCAATTTCCCTGTAGACTTCGGCAAGGAAACAGAGGGAAGGCCTGAAGGACCTAAGTCTTCCCTCTGTTTGCAAATATTCAGGCTTCTAGGCCTCAATTCTCAGAGAACAGAGGCCTAAAGTAGTGCGAGATTACACAAGATCAGTAGCACGAGATTTTGCGCTACTAATCTTGCACAGAGGCCTCTGTTCTCTGTGAATGCACTGAAAGTCTGAAGCAACAAAGCAGGCAAAGAAACCGTGACTGATCTGTGCAAGGTAAATGAGTCTCGAGAGGAGGGGCGGGGGGAATAGGCAAGGCAAATGTTCCAGCACCTCTGCTGTCATTCGTAAGTGTGAACAATGGCCATGGTGCTGCAACATTCATAATTTTGGGACTGGTTCGTAAGTAGTTGGGGAAGCTAGGTCATTACTTCAAACAGTCGCTAAGTGAACTGTTGTAACTTGGGAATTACCTGTATATGTTATTATTATTATAAAAAATAGCATAGAACTTTTTCCTTGAGTTTTCTTTTGATAATACCAGGAATTAACAATAATGGAAACTTACTAAACTATGACTTAATACAAGATTATAATTCATTATTAATACCTGATATTTTACTGAGATTTTTTTAAAAAAATTCTGCTTAAATAAATCTTCTTCAAATTAAGTTATCATCTTCATCATCAAAGAGCCACTTTGAAAAATAAGAAATGTATACAATTCTCAGCTATGGGATTTGCACTATTGGTTAATAGGTCCTGTGGTAGTGAAGAGCCATTTTTCATTTTGGGCCTGTTGTTCAATCTGAGTTTCCAGTGTGTACTGTTGGTGGTTGCGAAAGATAACTACCAAATTTTTGGGAGTATAAGACGCACCCTTTTCCCTCAAAAAAGGGTGAAAATCTGGTTGCGTCTTATACACTGAATACAGCATTTTTGGCCTACCAAAACCCCGCCCCCTTTGCAAAAATGGACGTGCAGAGGGTTTGGGAGGTTTGCAAAGTGCTCCTGGAGGCTAGGGAGAGCAAAAATAAGCAAAAAACAGGCCATTTTTTCTTGGTTTTGGTCCCCCTATCCCCCCCGGAGCACTCTACAAGCCTCCCAAGCCTCTGCATGCCCCCCCTTTTTTTTTTGCAAAAAATGAGTGCAGAGGGCTTGGGAGGCATGCAGAGTGCAAAAACTTTTTTTAAAAATTTACCTCTTCAAAATCATTGTGCGTCTTATACTCTGGTGCATCTTATAGTCTGAAAAATATGGTATTTACAATTATCTTTCTCCAAGTGTCTGTTCTATGATACATTGTTCCACATTAGCTGAACATTACATTTTGAAATATTCCCCTATTGGAATATTCCCACAAGTACAATGTTTAAATCTTTTTAATTTTTAAATCCTGGAATTGATTTTGCTGTCCAGAAGTTTTTAAATATTGGGAACTGTTGAAAAAGAGCACAATACTGTTCTAATCTAATTCAGACTCCACAATGTAATTCTGATGGATAGGGTTTATCTACTTAGTGCTGTCCTTCTATTAGCAAGAATAAAGAAAGTCAAATGGGCAACATTTGCAGGCACCTGCAGTCTTCAGAGACCAACTGATTTTTTTTTTTAAGTAATGAGTGTTTGCAATAATAGTACTGGCATCATCCTTGAGTTGCACAGCACAAGACATAAAGGTTAATAACAGAAATTGATGTATAGCATAAGAGTGTCTTAGCAGTTGCCCTTTGTCATTTTGTTATTGATAATAGTATATGTTTTCATGCTCCATTTTTATAATAGGAGATGGAGTGCTAGATCTCTCTACAAAGAAAACAAACTTGGAACAGTCACAGTATGATGGGTCATGTTCTGAAAATTCATTGTCTGGGTAAGCATAATAAGCATTACTCTGCTTTATTTTAAAGGGAGTAGGTGGAAGTAAGAGAAATGTGAAGATTTATTTTGGAATTGACTTATATAAAATGTATGTTGACACACTCTTCTTCTTTGCTTATGCCAGGGTTTCACTCATAATTGTATGTTTGTGTACAACTCATATAATTCATTTTGTGTTTTTCACTTTTTTCTGTTAAAGAAAAGTTATCAGAACAATCACCAAACTTTAGTTCATGTTCCTAAAAATAAAATAAAATGCTTATGTACATAATGCAATTAGGAAACTAAGTAATAGAATCAAAACTATTTGATATGAGTTTAAACCTTTACCATTGGAAAAAGAAAAATATTTTACATTTTAATAGATTTTGGATGTTAGAAGAAAATTAAAGGAACTACAATTTTAGTACCCCAAAAAGAGAAGGCTCTTGCATTTTTATTTTACTATGGTATGTGATGACATGCTACCGAGATACCATTTATGAATGGTTAATATGCTGCTGTGATAAATATTTACTGAAATTACATTAAAGTAACATGTTATAATTCTGACATCTTTCCAGTCATAACAGTCACTTATCATTTGTGTAATAGAATTATTCTTTTGGGGAAAAAAAACCCAGAAAAACTGCTTGCATTACGTATCTTTCTTTCTATCTCCCTGTCCCCCTACTAGTCACACACATTTCTAACTTTACTAGAAATTAGAAGTAGTATTTAGGACTTTTAATTGCATTTTTTACAAAAACTGGATATGTTAAGGTTCTTTTTAATAGTTATAAACAACGTTTCTATAAGGGGGTTGACTCTTTTATTACTTGTTTAGCGGTAACGTCACGTTTCTACTAACAAAACTCCTTTAGGATGGGGACATTCAGTGGATGTTAGATTGTGAAAAGAGAAGTTTTAAGTGTTACTCTGCGAGCATCTGTCAAAAGGGAATTGAAAACAGATGACAAAGTTGCCAAATCCTGAGCTAGGATTTAAAGTTCTTGGAAGGGCTGCTCTAGAAGCTGGGCTATCATTTTCTCACATGGTCCTACCAGAACTCTATAACATTTGCTATGGTAATCAATAGCTACCACAACTCAAAGCCTTAAAAGTGTCAGAAGCAGTGATGTTACCTAAGCAAGGAGTATAATAAAGGAGTGGACCCTTCCCTTCCATAGCTGTGTGAGAGTCTCTCATGCATCAGTTCACCATCGTTTCATTCCATCCATCCAGGAGACTCCACAGAAACAGAGAGGACTTTGTGGAAAGAAGTGCTGAGTTTGCAGATGGTTTGCTCTCAAAAGCCTTGAAAGACGTTCAGTCTGGAGCACTGGACATTAATAAAGCAGGCATCCTTTATGGCATACCTCAAAAAACTTTACTTCTCCACTTAGAAGCCTTACCAGCAGGAAACCCTGCACTCTTTAAAAACAAAACTCGAGATTTCAAGGATATCTGTTCTTACAAGGACAGTCCAGAACCCTGTGCCGTGCTGCAAAAAGTAGCCTTGTGGGCAAAAGCTCAAGCAAAGTGCACAGAAAAAAATAAACTTAGTCTACTTGAAACCTCAGAATTAAGATTCCCAACAGCTTCCAATTACCTCCACCAGTTAACTTTGCAAAGAATGGTCACTCAGTTTAAAGAAAAAAATGAAAGTGTACAATATGAAATGTCAGCTCCAGCTGTGCAATTAAAAATTCCTCAGCTGAGGATCAGTGCTGTTCCCAAACAGCATGAGAATGCTGGACTTCTGGATGTTATGTACCATGTTTCCAAAACCTCATCAGTCTTAGAAGGATCAGCTCTTCAAAAACTGAAAACTATATTCCCCAAACAGAGCAAAGTGGAATGTTCTGCATCTGTAACTCCTTCAAGTCTGGACACCTATTTTTTGCATGGGGACCTCTCTCCTTTGTGTCTTAATACTAAGAACGGCATTGTTGATGGCACCTCCGAATCCACAGAAGACGGCTTAGACCGTAAGGATAATAAACAACCAAGGAAAAAACGTGGTCGCTACCGGCAATATGATCATGAAATAATGGAGGAAGCTATTGCAATGGTAATGAGCGGGAAAATGAGCGTTTCCAAAGCACAAGGGATCTATGGAGTACCTCACAGCACTTTAGAATACAAAGTTAAAGAGAGATCTGGAACTCTGAAGACACCTCCGAAGAAGAAGCTCCGATTACCAGACACTGGGATGTTTAATATCACTGATTCAGGGACTGGCACCTGCAAAAATAGCAGCAAGCCTATGTAGTTAATTTGTTAGAAACACTGTGTTTGTATGTGTGCATGTGTGTGTGTGTGCGCGCGCGTGTGTTTGTGTACACGTGTGTGAGTGTGTGCGTGCGTGTGCAGGTGTAAGCATATATGCGGGAGAAACAAATGTTCACTTAGAAGAAATGAAATTTTGCAGTTCAGAAACCACATACATGCCTTTTTGAAGAATAATTTTATTCAGGGTTTTCACTGTGGACAATATGATAGAATTGATCACAATTGTGATAGTTTGTATTTAATATAATCCTTGTACAAATAAGTGAAAAGGATTCAGGTTTTATTTAGTTGTCAGCATAAAATGTTGGGAACAACTTCTATTTGTCATGTGAAATATTACTTTTTACTGTTGAAGATTGACGCTAGCTCAGTAATCCATCCTATTAAGGAAATACATGATTCGTGCTTTTAGGGCATTTATCCTCTCAAAATATTTTCAGAAGTCGCTCGCAACTGAAAATAAGCAAATCAAGGGAAGAGGACAGTTCTAGTTTCTTAATGTGGAAACTGATATGAAGTATTAGTTAAAACCAGACAATGAAAAAGAAAGTACATTAGAGCGTAACATTGGATATAAAGTAAATATTTCATTTTTAAAAGTGTGTTAGCAACAAAACTGGATTATTAAAATGTTATTGTTGGTTTAGCAAGAAATTGGTGTTTACAAAATATATGCTTGTAAAAACTGACAAATTTAGTTGTAGCGATAGAATAACTATGAAATGAGATGGAATACTAAAGGCATACATAAAATGGTTTTCCTTTAGTATAGAAAATAAGCTAACTTATAAGGGTTGAAGAGAAAAGTTGGAATGCATATTAGAGCATGTTTCATAATGTGCACAGAATGAGCTTGAAAATGGTTATATTAATTTAAGTGTGCTGGTAGTTAGTTGGTTTTATGACTACTTACATTTATTTAAGGATTGTTTAACACTCCTACTGAAAACCTCATGATAACAGTAACGTGTTCGCTGCTGTGACATTTCAAACCTTTTTCAGTTTATCAAAATGAATATCAGGTTTTCATTTTGGTGGGCCGATACATCATCATTTTGCTAATAACCAAATCTTGCAGTTCAGGGTCTTGATAGAATTACCGATTTAAAAAACAGTAAAAACTGTTTTGAATTTTCAGTACTAGAATTTCTTTGTGTATTTACTATATGGAAGCTGGACATTTCATTTTATTTATTTTATAATATAAGAACTATTGTGTGTGTGTGTGTGTATACATATATATACATATATTTGTATGTAATACACACACACAAATATATATATATATATATATATATATATATATATATATATATATATATATATATATATATATATATATATATATATATATATATATATGAAACCTCAGAGGACAGTGCTTTATATTACAGTTTTTGAATGATCTTCAGATAATTCATAATTGGAAATGATCCTTCTCACAGAGAAAATCCAGTAGGATTCAGAAAGAAATGTGCTCACCTTACAAATATGCTAACAGACCTTTGAGCTTCAAGGGAATTAAAAGGTTTGCATGCTTTTCATGTATTCCTAGGCAATTGCACTACTTACTAAAATTATACAAGTTCTTGCATTTGTGTTATCTTTATCAAATATCTATCAGTGTGGCAATTCAAAAACTTTCAGTTATTGACTGACTGATTGATTGATCGATCGATTGATCGATCGATCATATGCCTCAATGCATCTTTAGTTAGGGAGCAAAGGGAGGAATAAATTTCTCTGGAGCTCTACAGTAGTTTCACTGTGGGTAAGCAATTGCTTACTAGAAGGACCATACTCATTTGATTTTATATATTACATAACTTTATCATTTCCTACCATTTCTACATATGAATGAAGACATCAATTTTTCATTGAAAAAACTAGATTTTATATGAGGAAAATTAATATTTCCAAAATTGTTCTTTTTCCCATATATGGTTGACTGAATATGTTTAACTTCACTTAATATAAGAGTTCATTCTTTAAATTCTGTGAATTGTACTGTCTATAGTATATTCACATTTGATACTTTTTGAAGATGTCATTCAACTTGGTAATTTCAAAATAGACTAGGAAGAGATTTGACCCCTAATAAATTGGGGTTACTTACAAATGAAAGCAACACAACCATGTAATCAATTCATTGAGAATTTACGTGATCTGTGCTGAATTTTCTTCAGCTCAACTGCATGGAAAACAAGCTCAAAAATTAAAAGTCATACCACAGATGAGATTAACATTTGTCAAGGTCATCCTTCATTTTAAAGAACTAAGCCATATGTTCATCAGGATTAAGATTATTCATTAATAATATATTTCCCCAATAGAAAACAAGATTTCAGGTTTATTTGGAGGACTGCTAGGATCTGTGGTTCATTGCTTGATGTGTGGACTTGGGATACAAAGCTTTTACATCCAACTTCCTGTTACAACTCCTTAGTTCCCCCAGCTTATTCCTGAAGGTTATGAGATAAGGATAGGATGATCAAGGAAGGAGGAAGAATACACCCATTCACGATTGGGACTTGCTTGTTCCCAGCCATTTTTTAAAATGTTTTAGACAATATTAAATTCAGGTCTATATCAAAGACAAATTGCAGTACTCTTTTAATATCATTTAAATGGTGGCCTGACCAAAAAGTAACAGGATTCATAAAATCAGGGATCATTTTGCTATTGACTTTAACTGTGGTAGTTTTGTATGTAATGTTACAATTAATTTTCAGCATTTTCGTACTTGTATTTATTTTTGGCCAGAAATAGTATATTAAAATATTTTTTGATAGTTTGTAGATAATGTTCAATCTGTAAGTTTTAAAAAGAAACGTTAATTATTTGTAATGAATAGGCTGAATCTTTGATTATACAACTGAGGAAAAGCAGGGAAATACATAAACTCCCCCCTCATCTGCCCCATTGTATCCATTCAAAAGGCTATTTAAATTATAATTTTAAATTATAATTTTTCAAATTCAGTTACCAGTCACTACTTAGAAATTGACAAGTTTTTGAAAATTCATATTTCAGTAGACTTTTAAATGAAGATGAAAGCAGGCCTTCTTGCTTTCTATTTATTTGAATGTTTCTCAAGTATTTTATATTAAAAAGAAAAAAAACAGTGCCTCTGTTTTTAGAACTACTGCTCAGTAAATTAAACCATTTCTGGTAGCTAATGACTATTTTATATTACATTAAATTGTATAATAACTTTAGTGAGACTGATTTTTTTTTAGTTGTTTACAGTACAAATACTTGTATTTGTGTTTTGTTTTTGTTTTAAATTGCAGTATTTTCATTGTTGCAGTAATTTAGTAATACTCTGTGGCTGCCTTGATTTTTGACAGATTTTGTTAATAACCAATATCTAGGCAATTAGTTCTATTTATGCATAAATCAATTGCACTATAATTCATGAATTATTTATTACAATATTTTCTAATGAATTCCATGTATTTGTCTTGTGTTGTACATGTACTGTAATTCTGTTTCCTCTTTGTGTTGTTATATTTCCAGATCTGATTGTATGAATTTCTTAATGTGTTTCTATGTTGTAATTTTTAGTAAAGCACTTCAATGCTTTTGCACATAAATTTACAACACTGATGTGTGATTGATTCGTCATTCAGTAAAAGAAAAATGCTTCATGATGGCTTACTTGATTTACTCTATGGGCCTAATTTTATTGGTAAAATGGCAGTGCAGACTGAACTATAAAGCAAGGCACATTAGACACCAGGAAAGATAACTTAATAGATAAAGTGCTGCTCTTTTGCACATCTACATATTTCTTTGTGCAGTAAGACTTCATGATTGTGCCCTTGGTTTGTTAAGTTTAAGAAATTGAATTGTAGCATTATAACTATAATTATAAATTAATACTAAATTATGTTCATAAATTTTCATTTGCAGACTGCATAGTTCAATTGAGCCTCAGTTTCCAGAACTTCAGAATTGTGTGACTTTTATGGTGCAAAATATGTTAATAAACACATTCTATTTAATAACTTTACAATTTTTCTATTATCATATAGGAGAGGAAAAGATTATGAAGTTTGAATTGTTGATACATACACACACACACACACACCATAGTATATGCATTTCTACTAAATGTGTGAACTGAGGATCAGCAAATAAACCTTAATAAAGATTGTGAAGGGACAGATTACTGAAGAACTATGAGAGATATCCCTTTCTATACTACATGCTTGCATACTGTGTGAACATATAGTGATACATGCAGAGTTAAGAGCAAGATTTATCATTTTTGTCTACAATATATTTACCATAGTTTCATCAGCCCTGCTTTGAATAACTCTTTATGGTCAGTACTTCCATTGCAAAGAAACATTCATACTTTGTAGATAGAGTCCCCCTTTGAAGGATCACATCATTCAGTCATCTAAATGCCGATTAATTCTCAGATTAGCAGTGACTTGTCAACCTAATCGGTAGAACCCTGAAATAATTTAGCTGGAGATAATGGAAATTTAATATGATTTTACACAGATTTCCAAAGACACGTTATTGATGTTGCATCCTATTAACTGGTTTCTTCAGAAAGGCAGGAATCAAAACAGTCATTTCTTAAATTGATTAGACAGGATTGATTACTATCATATGGTTGTAATTTTGGAGTAGATTTCACCATTGCTGGGATAGTGTGTCATGTTCAGAGTTTGGTGATCTGTTTGAAATACATTACTTTTCTGAAACAGAATTGTATATTACTTACATTTAAAACTATTGATAGACATTAATATTTGAGGCTACATTATGCAAATTCCCCCGTTAAATCACTATTTACTTTTTGTTGTGAACAATTTTCAGTTTGAATTAATGACTTGGTAAGTAGTAACAATTTTTAATATTTTGTAGTTGGAATATTTCAGGCAGTAGGTGTAGGTGAATTCTTAGTTATAGCTGACTTAACTTATTTACTTCTAGAGGAAGACACATATTTATACACATAATGGTGTGAGTGTGGGTGTGTGTAGTCACTGTGTGTATGTAGTTTTTTATAAACTAAAATATATACAGATAAATATATATCTGCCATCTGAAAGCCACTTTAATAATTAATAAAATAGAGCTCTGTATATAGTTTAGTTTACCAGAAAAGTATACATTATATATTACAGTTTGTTAATCTTGTCCCTCAATGTCCTAGGAAATCCACAGGTTAAATTCCAATTATACACAACAAGAGAAAGACAGGGAAATATTTTGTGGCAAAGACTTAAAAAGAATTGATTCTCTGAGAAGATACTTATTTTCAAGAAATTGATCAAGTTAAGCACATAGGTAGATTAAGTTAAGCATAGGCAGAATAAGAAGCTTTTTTATTTTCATTAATGTAATAAGGAATTAAATATACTAATTTGCTTAATTGTATACTTTCCCTCTAAAATAAGATCTTAAAAAGGAATTGGTTTTTATTCCATTGGACATCTCATAGAAAAGCTTTAAAATGGCATTTAATTTGTACATGTTCTCCTCCCTAATCCTAAATATCATTATTAAAAATAAGGGGTTGCTCAGCAAACTGTCACTTTCCTCCATAAATATGACACAAGTACAAAAATTGTGTCTTGTACATATGTCATCTCTGTGCCAGGTATATATCCCAAAATGTTCTTTTAAGATACATGGGATTTCTTACTTTAAAGTGGAATTTATACAGAAGACATCTGAGTCCTTGTTGATTTCAATATAGTTTGTGTATGATTAAAATATAGTTAGAATCATAACTATAATTTCTTTATTTAAACAGTTTGTTGGATTTTAAAAAATTCTTTAATTGCTCTTGAAATAGTAAACAGAATGCTACGGAATGCATTACATGGAAACACATCTTGCTAAGCTTTTTTGCTAAGTTTTTTTTCCCCTTTACAATGTGTTTACAAAATGCATTGAGCAGAAGTGTAACATTTTTATAAATATAACATTTTTATAAGCTTTGAATGATACCATATTTTCATTAGGTTTTTTATCATATGTTCCATATTTAATTGTAATTTACTTTTTGTTTCGATCTGCTTTATGTTTTCAGTTCAAGTACAGCTGCTGGTGCAAAACTAGAGGAAACAACTAAATTGGAAAGAGGAAATTCTACTCTAAACAAGGTGTTGACTTCCTTATGTTCATATCATTGGCATCAGACTTTAGCCATGTTGAAATTTTTCATCCAAGAATCATGTTATTCAGGTTGCAGTAGTCAACTGCCTTACCCTAAATATTCTGAGAGAGAGGAAGATGAGATTCATATTCCAGGCTTCAGTTGTGATGACAACATGCTGATGAAAAGGTGCCGTTCACAAAATATAAGACCAAATAAGGATTGTTTGACATGCCACTCAATGGCCCCAGGCTTTGTTAACACAATAATGAACAAAGAAAATTCTTTGCTTTGCCATCCTCATGGGCACTGTCCCAAACAGCTACAACTATGTAAGATCCATTCTATCCAGGCAGATTTGTATACATACCTCTTTCCAAGGGGGGAAAAAATTAATAGGGGTAGCCAAGGCCGCAGCCCTTCACCACCGCCATTGTCTCCTGTGGAAGCTGATGGGTACAATTCTCCAAAGGAATTGGCTGAAGATAACACACCTGAAAAACCCTACAACCAGCCTCCTTCACTATTTCCCACTGAACACAAGGAGAAAAATCAAACATATCAAACATATCTTGCAGAAGTGCCCGATAACCTGCAGGAAGGCATTGCAACTGTGAATCAAGAAAATAGCCTTACAATTTCTGATAAGCTTGAAAAGCTTGAAAATGCTGATGTATTTCAGAATTTAATGGATCGAATCAATGAGAAGTTGAAATCAATAGAAACTACTGATACAGAAATATTGGCAAAATTACCTAAGAGTGATGAAAGAACAGAAACTGATTCTAAATTACGGAACTTCATTACATCTCTCTTACATGATGCTAAGACCAATGATTACAATTTTACAGAATTACTGAATCAACATGATAAGCAAGTGGAAAATAAAATTATCCAAACAAGATTTCGCAAACGACAAGAAACTTTGTTTGCAATGCATAGTTCTCCCAATTCATGTCTATTTAGACGAAAGTCTTTGCAAATCAAAAGAGAGTTGGCTAGCCTTGATGAAACTTTCTTAAGAAAGAAGGCAAATTCACAGAGAAAAGTTAAAAAATATACAAAAAATGACAAATACAATACATTAAAAGAGCTTGATGTACAAGGCTATGAAAATAAAGATGGGACATTTTCTTCTAAGTCGAAGCTTTTGCCACTAGGTCAAAAAGAAACTATAGTACTACCTCTCATCAGCTCAGAAACCAGTTATGATTTTGTAACATTTGCAGCAAACAGCTCTACAACCTCTCAAACGGTTTTGGCTAAAACACAATGTGGACTTGAACTAGATGTGGATCCAGCTGGTGTGAAAGGAGATTATGATAGAGGCCTGGAGAGAACCAGACATAATATTTTCTCTCCTAAATGGTGCTCGTTGTATGTAGCAAATAATTTTTTATTAAGGAAAAACATAAAATCAAAACCTGCTGCTAGCATAGAAGGGGATAAAATTCTCAAAGATTTTCAAGCTAAGTCATGTAGCAATGAAAATATAAATAAGATTATGCAGAAAACCAGTCTACATGTTGTTGTAAAGCATTTGGAAGATACAATAAATATGGCTCAAAAGGCCACACAGCCCATGTGTAATGGTTATAAAATATTGGGCAAAATGAAAGACGTTCAAAATTCTGATGTGAACAGTAAATCTAAAATTGGCCTCCTTACTAGCGTGAGTGAAACTGGAAGTAAGGGGCAATGTGTGTTATCACAGAGTCATTTACCAGCTAGAAATAGCAACAGAAGTGATTATATGCCAAAAAAAGAAAATGTATCTTGTGAAGAAGGATATGAAAGACTTTTGAAACCCTCAATATTAGATTCAAATATGTTGACCTTAAATAAGGAGGAATCCCAAGGAAATTCTCATTTGGAGGATAATTCATCAACATTGAATTACACTAGCCCTATAAAACTTATGTTCCTTTCCAAGATTAATAGCAGTGAAGGAATCAAGTACACACTAACCTCTGTGAATGATTCATCCAAATTAAACATTGATCTTTATTCTCTTCAGGAGAAAACAAATAAGCTGTTGGGAAAACAGTTGGAGGCCAAGGATTCTGATGAAAAAGTATCTATTGATAAATGCAGCTATAATGAAAATACAGATACAAATAAAATGAGAACTGGTTTACCTACAACAGTTGCCACTGTAACCAATCCTAAGCCTAAGGAAGAACCTGTGGAACAAGGCAACATTGGATCCTCCCTGAAAAGAAAACCTGGGAGACCCAAAAAAATTGGTCCTCAGGTTGTAAAACAAATTAAGCGTCCGATTGGACGACCTCCCAAACCAAAAGTTGATGTGAGTAATAATGGTAGTCATAGGAAGGACTCCATTGGTGTTGCAAAAAATGCCAACTCTAACATGGAATGTCTAGAGGAAGAGAACATTTACAAAAATATTACAGTGACTGTTGTTTTTGGAAGATCTCGAAGGATTAAGAGGTGTGTTTCTGAAGGTAGCCTAAATATAGTTAAAACTGCACCAGAACCTCACAGCTACTGCAGTGTTGTATGTGACCTTGATCAAATAACACTGAGCTCAGATGCCAGGAACAACTTGCCAGAATCTAAAATTATGCAATATTCTACAAAAGAAAAAACCTCTACATGTGGCTATGAGGATGTTAGACCACTAGAAAGCAGCCTTGTGCTACCATCCCATTGCAGCAATATCAGACCAAACCAAAAGCCTTTAAATATTATTAGAAAACCTGGCAGACCAGCAAAAGTAAAAATATCTGGCATATCAGTGACTGTTAATCAGATTTCATCTCAGGAAAGAAAAGTGTGTATCAGCAGCTGTCTGCCTCCCTTAGAACAAGAAGCTTGTGAACCATCTAAGAAGGATCCTAAGCAATGCAATAAAAGCGATGATTTTAAAAGCCTTTGCAATGATGAAGCAGGGAATTTTTCACCCAAGATTATCATTGCTTCAAGAAGGTCTGAAACTCATTTGAGACACTCCCTTAGAAGACCATCATTGCCTTTTGTACATTCATCAGCATCTTCTAGCTCATTTTCTTGTAAACGTGCCTTTTTGCAGAAACCGTGTAAACTCCGTTTGAAAAATAGTAAAGATCGCAAAGTAAAGCATTCAAAAATGCCACCCAAAAATACCTCAATAAATACAAGGGCAGACAATGCAAAAAATAGTTCTGAGAATAGTAAATCCAGATCCATTGGTGATATTACTTTGGATCCTTTAATTTCATCCAATTCCCTTAGATGGTGGGATCCTTCCATTTCTAATGATTCTTTGTTAAAAGAACTAAACAGTAGATATGACCAGATAACTAAGACTTGGTTGCATGTGAGAAGGGAGAATGGAGAAGAATATGAGAAATGGCCATATAATGGAACATGTCATGTTGAACAAGATAGTAGCATTGAAGTATCAAATCCTTTGGACTCCTGCATTTTGGAACTGGAAAATTCACCTATAAGAATGCTTTTCCAGAAAAAATGCAGCATAGATGACTTATGTGCATGGTTTATGCAAACAACAGAAACACAATCACTATCACTAGTCAGAAAAGAAAATGCTCGTAATCCTTTTGAAGTAATCAATACAAGCCAATTCAAAATGGGAACAAGACAAAATGATTGTAATACTAGTCCTTTGAGAAAGCACTTTAAAAAATTTGCACTGTCCACACCTTCAAAATCAACAGGAAAGTTGCAGCTTCTACATAAAATTGTCAGATCGCAAGTCTTAAGCAGGGAGCATAGCTTTACCTTAAGTAAATTGAGAACTAAATTTGAGAACTTGCAACATGATCGATGGCAACAAGTGAAAAAACTGTATAATCATGGAACATCTGACTGGAAATCAAAAAAGAAAAACTTGCGATTCTTCTCCCAAAGTCAGTGTTTGAATGATGCAACTGGGAAACTTAACAAACTATGTACAAGCCTTGAGAATGACCCAGTAGAAACTCAGCCAACAACTTTGTTGGAATCTTACAGAATCACTTCAGCAACTGGAAATGAAATCGGAGATGCATTTATTCAACAAGATACACAATTGTCTGACCTCAGCACAAAGTGTGACTCACTCTCAAACTGTAGGCCAAGTAGTAAATCCAAGTACAGCAATCAGCAAAGTATTGGACAAGCACATGCCCCTAATGAATGTAATGAAAGTGCACGGAGAGGGCAGACTTTTAAGGATTGTCGAATATTTTTGAAGAAAATTAATCCAGTGGATAAACAGCATGTCTTTAATAAGAACTTTGCCATCTCTACTTCAGAATCTATGGAACATTGCAGCAGCCACATCTATTGCCCAGAAAAAAATGGTTGTCCTTTGAGGTCCCCCTGTGTTCAGCCGAGTATGGCTGAAAATGATGAAAGGAATGGAGGGGCTTCTAACAGAAGCAGGCATTCCAGCTTGCTCAATGAAGTCAAGAAGTCAAGCAAACGTGTCGCTTTTGAGGATGGCCCAATCGAGACCCCTAAAAAAATGAGGAAGCGGAAGAAGACACAATGCAAGTTCACTGAGCTGAACAGAAGAAAAAGGAATAAGAAGCGGTTATGTAGTACTGGCCAAATATCAAACTGTTACCCAAAATACCACCTGGGTAAGTTGCTTTCATCTCCCTCTCATCCCTTGACAAACTTCTATTAACTTTACATGCAGGTGAAATAATCCAAGCAAAAGCTAAATATAGGAAAATAGATTTCACAAAACCAGGGCAATAGTCTAAAACTTCCCATTGCTGATCATGCAGCTTAAATAGCGTTTTTAAAAGATTTTCTGTTCATTTTTATTAATACTGCATTCTGAAGAGTCCAGAAAAGCTATGCCAGGAAAGTGTAATACATCTGAAGGGGTGTCATTCACCCCAAAGTGTTATTTGAGGGGGTAGAGTAGGCTTCCTTTCTGCCTCAATTGTCTGGGAGGGGGGTGAGACAATTGGTTATTCCAAAAGTCTGTATTATGCAAAAATTACTTTTTTTATTTAATTCATAATAATTGTTAATGTATTACCAAATTCTCCATTCTTCTGATCAGGGAAAGACAATACCACAAGGCTGAAACATATTCCTTATTGAATTACATATTCCTTATATTTTTTGGCCTATAATTTAAAAAGAGGGAAAGAAGTAGGCCAAGTGCCACATTGACTGACTTTGTGATATGTGTAGGTGGGATGGAAGTTCAATAAAAAAAATACGGAGAGCAAACTTTAAAAACACTGCGTTATGCCAAACTGGGAAAAGGACTAAGTGTTTTGCAATAAAATTTGCATCTAGTAGTGATTAAATCGAAAATAGAATATTCTGTCCCGTGTTTTGTTTAATGACGCTGTTAAATAAAACAAATTAAAACAGCGATGCAAAACATCGGGTTGCTTTTGCCCTCCAGAAATAGAAGAAAAGAAATGCTGTATGGCAGGTGTCCCCAGTAGGTCCCAGGCTGTGGCCTATTCGGAATAGGACCCCACGACTGGCTGGCTGGAGCACATGCGTGTGTATGCGCACACGTAGCTCATCTTGCACAAGTGGCGGGCACTCATGCATGTGCACACTGGTGGTGCTGTTTTCACGTTGAGCTGTGCACGCCGGCCTGCCACTCATGCAATAGATGCATGTATTTGCATACATGCCAGCCTGCCATTTAAATGGTCCAGTTCCCCTCTCTCTCCCCTCCAGCAGATCCGCCAAGCTGCAAAGGTTGGGAATTGCTGCTGTATGGAATTAATTGCTTTTTCTTTTCAGAAGAGCAGCAGTATTGTTTAAGCATGGAGGGTTATTAGAGGAGGAGAGGGATATTTGAATTTGGACTCTGCCCTTCAAATACCTTAAATTCAAATCCAACTCAGGATCCCCTGTCACAACATGGAATTCCCATTGATTTATTTCTAACGTGTACAAAGAGCTCTCTCATGACTGTCTACTTTTTTCAAGGCTAGGATTGTTAGATTGCCACCCAGAGATGGAGCCTCTTTCATTGAGATCCCTAAAATTTCAACAGGATTCCAGCTCCACCTGGGTCCTATTGCATAGCCTGTCCCCCCACTTCAGCAAAAGGAAGTGGGGGGACAAGATACCAGCAGAGGCCCATGTAACTGCTACTCTGCTGCCTATATACTTTAAAATGAAAGAAGAGATGAGTGACTTGACCAATTTAGCCTTCACAGCAGTCAAACAGAGAGCCCTTCTTAAAAACTGATAAAAAGGTAGTTTAAGACAATTTGGCTTGGCAGTGCTTTAGATTTGCTCTCCCAGAGGTTTAGATCTTGCAACTTTGGGAGACAGTGCTAGGCACTGCAAAAATCTCTAATAGTCATGCATCTTTCAAACGAACAAGCCCTGATAACTTTTTCATAGTTTTTCATTGTTTATTTCAGATTTTTGTTATGTTGTTTTCTCTGTTGTTCAAAGTTTCCAGTACATAAGCATTTACAGAAAATATACCAACACTCGGTGGACAATTCCATGATAACCCTGCATTCATTTTCTTTCAAAGCTGTTATAGTTGTAGTTGCATTTTTAAGAGTTCCTTTTCCTTTTCCAACCAATCACGAGGAAATGCCCACACTTCAGGGCAGTCTGTACAATGGATTCTTCAATCACAAGTGTAAGTAATTGCATGAATATAGCACATAAGAATGTGGTCAAAAATAAGACACTTCAGGCATTACCATATGGAATCCTCTTACCAAATTTTCCATATGTATTTAAAGCAAGAGAGTTCATTCTTCCATGTAGTATTTCAAAACACAGGTGGATAATTTCTCAGGGATACTTTTGTTTTTCACATTTTTGCTTCCAGGGATTAACAACCACAGGCATAAGCTCTTTTTATTATTATTAGAAACCTAGAATGCCATTGCATCTTAAATAAATAAGATGGACCTTGTACATGGTAGATCATAAGAAAGCCCCACTGAGTTCAATAAAACGGTTAACTATGTGTAATAAAAAGGAATGTCTGGATTTCAGCTGGCTTCCTTTCCAGTATCCTTGAACATTTCATACTAGGAAACGATGCAAAAAGGAGACGCCAATTTGAATGTGCTGTCAGCTGGAACAGCCTCTCCTGTCCTGCAGAAGGAAAGTGAATCTTGAACCAAGCGTATCAATGTTGACTTTCAGCATTGAGTCCCTGGTGCTACATCTCTCTTTCCCTCTCTAAACATCTGTATAACTTGTAATTTGAAGAGCAACAGTATAGTTGGGAGCTTCCAATGAAGGACAAAATGACCTTGCTCCTATAGCATTCTTTTTTTAAAAAAAAAAGTCCCTATAACCTTAGCAAACCAATTCTTCGTTCTGCGAGGCACTGCAGTGCTTATCTTCTAGGAGTTTTATAGTATTCTCCCCTCCAAAACTCTTTTTTCCAAATTTTATTATAAATTAAAAATGATAACGTAAGTGGCTCTAAATCGTTGGTGGCAAGTTCCATTAGATTTCCTGTCTTCCAGCATCCTCTCTAGTTCTCAGCTTCATGAGCAATGTCAGCATGTCTTCTATGATATCATTTGTATTTCCAGGTTCTTACAACTGCCCAGTCTTGAGGGCTTGGCTGCTGCTCTCTACTCAGTGTTTAGTGGAAAAGTATAAAATTTAACTCTGATCAGGGTATGATTCGACAGTGTTTCTTGTGGGATGGGGTTTTCATTGGAAAATAAATGAAATGAATTCACAATGTACAGTACTGATAGCAACCTTAGTGTTTCTAAAATGAATGACTGTCCTGTGGTTATGGACAAACAACTAAATAGTTCTCTAAGGTACACGAATCATTTCTTTTAACCTAGTTTCTCCTACTGAGTTTATATTAGGCCATCTGACATCAAGCTTTTCTGTCAATATTTATTATACTGCCTTGGAAGATTACCGTCCTTAAAAGTCCACTGCTATTTTAGACCCATTTACACCACTGTCTTGCTCCAGTTTTCCAGTCCAGATGTCTGATTGAGAGTAGTAGCCCTCTTCTGTCTGCAGCTATTAGAAATATAGGTAGTCCTTGACTTAGAATGGCATGGAACCTGTCTATTGTGGTGCTTGTTAAACAAGTCACTATGGTTAAGCGAGCACTGTGTGAGAAGTAAATGCCAGCTTTCAGCTTTCATAAAACCCAGGCCACATAGCAGCAGGAAACAGCCATAACTGCATCCTGGTTGCTGAGTGCCCAAAGTTTGGTCATGTGACCCTGGAGGAGACTGACTGTTGGAACGTCAAATCCAGGTCATAAGTAGCCTCCAGATAGATCCTTTGTCATTTGAAAGGTTGCTAAGCGACTGGTTATAAATTAAGGACTGCATCTATACCTATTAGTGCTTATTCTAAAGATAGTAATCCATGGCTTGCTGACTTGATTGGCCCTTGGGGAAAATGTATGGGGGAAATCCAGGAGAAATCCAAAAAAACATCTCAGGAGAAGGCAAAAAGGTCATAATATATACTATATCTATTTCACTGCTATTGATCCACTTTGAAGTGATTTTCTAGAATTCTTCATCCGTTTTTATTTTATCACTTTGGATTAGTCCAAATGTGACAAACTTATTACACATCCCAAGTTCATTTAAAAAGTATAAAACCAAAAGCAGAGCTTGAGAAAATTTTGTTTCTTCAATCTCTCATTTATGAATAACTATCCAACTGTGCTTTTCCTTTGCTGCTTTTACAAGCAGTTGTCCTCTCTTGTGATTGTGAAGTTTCTTGGAAAACCTGAGGTTATAGATTATGCAGACAACCGAGAGCCATAGTAAATTTTTGAAAGAAAAAGGCTAGAACTTAAGAACCAAGTACGAAAATAAAAAGTTAGCATAAAGTTCACTTAATACTGAAAACAATTCCTCTTTGTGAGAATAGACCTGTGGCAGAATTTACACCCTTGTGTCCTCAGACACACTCTTACATTAGGCAAACACTTATGCCTAATATCTGCCTCTTTGCTTGCACCAGAAACATAGCATTCCTTACACATATATGTACATAAATGCACGTCATTCATATTAGTTGGTATTTCTTTTTCCGTCTCATTCTGTTTCATCATTTGAAAAGAGATAGCAGGAATGTTCAGATGGTCGCGGACTTTTTTCTTTCAGATCTAAAATAGTTAGATTTTGATATTTTGTAGAATTGAAAGTTTTTTTCAAAATCTAAAATTAAATGCTGATTTTCTACCACTGTAAGAGAAGATGAAAAATATTCTAAAACATATTCCTGAATATGAAATGAAATGCAAAATACTTATTGTAACATTCACTGACAATTTGTTATTTAAATTATTTAAAAGAGATATTATTTATAGAATTTATAAAAGGCAAACGTGCATGGGGAAACAGCTATACCTTTTGTTTCTCAACAAATTCTTACTTTTTAAGAAGTAAAACAGTAGTTATGTTCTGCTGGAAGTCAACATAAAATCAGGATACTTAGGGTTATTTCCAGAAAAGGAGTAAAAAATAAATAAAAATAGGAGCCCTAAGTCTGCAATTGAAGTTTTGCCTTTTAATCATTGGATGTGATTTCCCATTTTGACTTTTTTTTTTACCTGAGATACCTATAGTTGTTATAGCAGTGGTAGTCAACCTGGTCTCTACCGCCCACTAGTGGGCGTTCC